TAACCTACACTCCAGTTTAAAAAGGCACGTAAGCATGAGCTGAAATATGCAAAAGCCCAATAGGGATTAATCAGGTACTTAAATTAAGCATGTGTTTAAATGATTTTCTGGACTAGGCCTGAAGTCAGAGGACAGGTGCAAGTAAAAACAGATGTTCTTACTTATGGGAAAGATTGAATCAGAGAGAAATAGTTTAGTTTATTACAAACAAGAAAAGAGATGTCTGTGAATCAAGACACACAACATTATCTGACTGATACTATAAAAGAAAGCCATAGCTAGAAGCTGTAAATATACACTGGACTGCTACAGGTATGAATTAGTATCCCAGCAGCAGAAAACTTTCATGAATAATAAGGTTCATAAGGAAAAAAAAAGAACAAAGGAGAAGGAGTATAAATGTGAAAATCAGACTGCCCATACAAGTGACTGCTGACTCCTGACTTCCTCTTCTGTCCTCCTTTTCCACCTCTGCCTAGGCTGGCCTGAATGTTGTTGAGACCCACCATCCCTGGTCTGTCCTACCACTCTCAGGACAGACCTCCCATGAACAAGAGGAACATGGAGTATGGTGGCAGCTTCTCCCCACCCTATCAGGAAGCAGGCATTGTTATTGTTATATTGTTATTATTGCTATTTGAATTTCAGCTGTATTTAGCGAGCCTAGCAAACACCAAGGTTTCCTGCCCTGGAATGAATAAATTAGAGAAAAGAAGCAGCAGCAGAGTGTGTGTATGTGCATCCATGCACACAAAAGAGTAACTTGCTTTAGGTCCCCTTCTAGGTGAGTGGCAGAGATGTTATACTTTATCCACTAAACAGGAGGTTACATTTTGGATCTTCCACACATGATGTGTAGGCATCCCTCTGGAATGGGCATCCTGGTAGTCTCCAGAGTGCCAGACTTAGACTGAATTCGTTCATGGGAGCTTCAGGTGCAAGTGAGCTTCTTGTTATCCTCCCTAACTTACTTAATGGTGCCAAAAAGCGATTCTTCCTTTGTATTTGTTATGAGCTGCATATGCTTGAGGAGAAAAATATGGAAAGTTTTTCTCTAAACGGTCAATAATGGTCTGTGGCTTAAACTAAAAATAACAATGGCCGGAAATGTGATTCAAAGTTGCTTTTCTTTATAGGTTCAAGTTATGCTAGTTCAGTGACCACGAAATTTCAACCCACAGCAGTTCAGACTATGCTGTTCTAGAAGGGTGAGTTGGCGACGGGTCTTTATGAAACCTGTAGATCTTGGAACAAGTAGGAAGGCTGTGGCTTTTGCTGAATCCAATACCAGCGCACACCATTTTTGGCCTCCCCAGTGCACATACATTACATCTCACTTGGGTAATGGTGAATGGTGATGGTTTTTGACAAATACCCTTTAAATATCTGATGGGCTGCATAAAAACGAGGGAAAACACCCTTCTTTCTTGCTGTAGAGAGTAGGACATGGATCAATGGCTTGGAGTTGCAACAAAGTAGGTAGATTGGATATGAGGAAAAACTTCCTAATGTGTAGAACAGCGAGGCAGTGGAATAGGCCGCCTAGGGAGGTTGGGGACTCTGCATCACTGGAAGTTTTCAAGAAGGAACTGGACAGGCATTGGTCTGGGATGATTTAGGAGTATCTATGCCTATGCTTACCAGTGGATATTTCCCATGCTTCTGGGCTTTGCTGGTTGCCAAATGGGGCTGGGAAGGAATTTTTCCTCTCTTACTGCTACATCTCAGGCATTTTTTTAAAGCTTTCCTCAGATCCATTGGGTGATGGCTGCACTCAAGGCTGGAGATTTTGACTGGGGTGTTTCAGTGCTCTTGCTGGGACTTACAGAAGTTCCTGTTAGAGGGTCTTGCCCATCCACTCAGGGTTAGACCAGTTGCAATATTTGGGTCAGGAAGGAATTATATGCCATGGCCAGATTGGTACAGATTGAGGAAGGGGTGGGGGAGGGTTCCCTTCCTCAGCAGCTAGGGGCATGGCTCTCTCTCTATCTTGGAGCTCTCTAGTGTATTTTAACAACTTTGA